ACACACAAATGCACACACAGACACTTGCACACAAGGATACGCTAAATAAATTTAGTGCTCATTTCGCGGTGCTAATTCATAAATTTCTGTCAAAATGTGGAGTAAGCACTAAAACGGCTACAGTAAGTAAATCCCAAAAACGAAGAGAAAAGGACGAAACCAAAAGAATAAAAAAAATATAAAAGAATATTGCTAAAAAAAAAGCAATAAAACTTTTGTATCACACTGTGATATGTTTAACTTGTGTAACGACAAACGAGTACATTCGTTGTATTCTGCACTGTACCATGCTGTATCCTCAGTGTCCTGTCGTGTCCCATACTGCTTAACGACGACGACTTTGGCTGCCGCGCTGGCAGTCTTGACTGGCAGAACTTGACTACAATTTAACGCTTAAGGACGAGCAATTTTTACTTTGTAATTTTTTCATGTCGTCGTGTGCTTGTTTCATGTAATAACGGTTTATGAGAACACTCATACCATACAACTTCGACTTGAATACAACAGAATGCGAGTGTGTGGGGATGCAGCAAGGACGAACTCGACACATTGCTAGCGTCACCACCACAACCACCACTGAGTGAGTGACATTCATAATTTTCTCATCCACTTTTTACATATTTTTATTCTGTTCTTTGCCAGTTTTTCTTTCAAACAAATATTATTATTTTCCTTTTTTTATTTTTACTATGGATTATTTTTTATTTTTTTTTCCACTTTCCCATGTTTTACAACCCCCTTTCGTTGTGCTTCGTTGATACTACATAAGTTGTTGTCTAATAGTTTTGTTGTTGCATTGTTGTTATTGTTATTGTTGTTGTTATTGTTGTTGTTGTTGCTGCTGTTACTGTTGTTATCTGTATTTTTCGCTCTTAATATTGGTCATAAGCCACGCCCTAAACTTGTACACGTAAGCGCAATAACAAGAACAAATGTTTGAAAATAAAAAAAAAAAAGAAATAGAGTTCCCAATTCCTTGAAGACACAAAAAAAAAATTACCAAGATACAAAATACAGGACAGTTGCGAATTAAGTGTTGTCCTTACAGTAAGTACATTAAATGGTTAGTCTCGATTTCTGTACTTATCATTTGCATACATACTTTGTATTGTATCTCGGGAATGACTTACTGATATGCTCGTATGTAGTCAGTCACAAACCCAATGAACAATTTGTGATAGATTATTTACAAAGCTTTTAGCATTTATGCGGCAAAATAGATGAGAAATAACTGGGGGCTATTAGCACCAAATGTGTATACGTGGCAGACTTTCAACGTTTTTTAGTTTAGAACCGGAAAAGAGTCAGCATTCAAGAGTTTGGAAGTATGACGTTACAAGTTGTAGGTCAAAATTAATGTAATAGAATAGAATAGATTATAAATTATATAATAATACGACTTAATAATATTATATATTATAATCTATAATATAATAGAATTTAAAAAATATAATAGTATTTGAAATATTCAATAATAGTATTAAATTGATCGTATATTGGTACTAACTACTAAAATTTATATGTACAAAAAAGTCTATTAAATTGGGAGTTTCGGATTAACTGGTAAATAATTGAAATATGACTCTAAGTTTTTGCGGATATCATTAGAGAGCCAGTCAATATCTTTAATTTTTAATAAAAATATAATAATTTTTCAAAACCTAAGTGTATTTGCATTAAGTATATTTCAGCATTTCAACTTGAAGAATGAAACCAGTATGTAGATTATGTGATATATATGTGAGATATATGTCTAAATGTATAATAAAACAATATTATATTCAGTTAGATAAACACCATTTCAATTATAATAATATATAATGTATTATATTTATGCATTTATTATTATAAGTTTTTGTGAGTTCATTAGAGAGCCAGCCAATATCTTTAATAAGATAACGCTTAAGTATATTTGTATTAAGTACATTTAAACATTTTAACTTGAAGAATGGAACCAATTTGTATATTATAGATATGCATTAGATATGATTTACAGATTGGTATAATAAAGCAATATTATATGCAGTTAGATAAAAACCTTTTCAATTATAATCATATATAATATTTACGCAATTATATATTGTTAATTTTAGTTAGATTATAATATAACACTACATAAATATAATTTATATAGATTAAATTTTTTTATTCATTTTCTTCTTAATTCTTCTTAATTGTAGTTTTTCCTTCTTATTATTGAATTTTGCAATAAAACTCAATAATTTCTTCATTTACATGACTAATCCAAACTGTAACATAGATGTTTGGAAAAATTACTGATCCATATTTATAATAACTATTCTACAATCATAAAGCTTACGGCAAGAACGGCATAATGTACTATCAAAAACATATATAGTGTGGGGAATCCCATACATAACTTATCTAGAATTCATAATAACTAAAACACAGCCTTAATGTTTCCGACAAGAACCTCAGATATGTACCATGTATTATCAGAAACGTATATACCAGAAGAGAACTTTTAAAAATGAATTTAGAGTACAAATAAATATTTTTAATTGCAAAAAAAAAAAATTTATATGCACTACCGAATCCCCCCTCCCACTTTGTTTAAGGGTCAGTAAATTATAATTGTCGAGTTGGAATACATATTGAAATTCATATTCTTTTAAATATTATTTAATAGATTCTTTAATAAATATTTAACTGTCTTAGTTTTTTAAACAAATGCGATTATATATATTAACTTCAAACATAAATTGAAGAATGCCGACGGAAAAGCATTATTAAAAATTGATAAAATTAATTTTAATTATTTAATATATTGCAGTGATTTCTAAACATATTTAAATTAAATAAATTTTTTTATTTTAAAAATCATTTAAAAATTTCTTCAACTACCAACTAAAATTTACTACTTAGCAAAGGCACTACGTCATCTATAATAAGAAATTTTCCGACATAAACGTAGCATAAAATTGCAAGTCTCTTTGCGATATTAAAATGCATGTTTACATGTTGCGGCGAACATACAAGCATTAGCCAGTTTCAGCGCAATGAATACTTTTCCTCTACTTGAAGCTACTCAACATCGTCTCACTTCTCCCGCTTAACAATTTTCACAACTGAAAATCGCTTATAAAATTGCTGCTGTATTATCCCAAGAAGCAGATAGACAGACAGACAGTAAAACCAACAAGCAATCCAGCCGGTCTTTGCGAATGCATGCTATGCGGTAGAGTTACTCTGCGTTCGTTGCGCATATTACAAAGCAAGCAAAGTGAAATAGCAATAGTTTTTATTTTATATGAATGTATGAGTGTATAAGTGTATGAGTTTAAATGCAGCAGCTCCCCAAACGCACGAGCTCACTTTACTCACTTCATTGCTGAGCAAATTTTGAGCATTATTCTGTAAAATGATGGAGGGGAGTTGAGTCGTGTTACCTCACTGTTTGTGCCCGTTTATTTATTATTATCTGTGTACAACTTGTTTCTTGTACCAAAGAAAAGAAAACAGGATAGGAAAACGGAGCTCTCCCAATGTACCATAATCTTTAGTAATTCTTTTTGTATTTCATTTTTTTATAACATTATTTTCTCCTAGAAGCGCATTTATTGGTTTGTTTTGTATTTTATGCTACTGTACGGTAAAGCTGTTCGAATGGCAATAACAACAACAACAACAACTATGGCAAGTAAGAGTAAATGTCAGTAGTAAAAAACAAATGTGGAATTTGCTATAACAAGGATATTTAAGGAGTTGATTTGCATCCCCTACTACTCCACCTCTTTGCAGTAATCAACCATACTTGTTTTAGTTGTTGTTGTTATTGTTATTGTTGTGTGCTTTCATCACCTTTCACACATTTTTTTGCAACTATTTCTACTTTTGTTGTTTGTTGTTGTAGTGTATTTTTTCATGTAGTGATTTCATTTTTTCATGTTTTCTTGGTTTTATTTTATTGTTGGGAGTTCTACGAGCACACAACTTGTAAGACATGTTTTTTTTGCTCCTTTGTGTGTTTGTTTTTTCTTATTTTTGTTTTTTAGGGTGGGAATTGGGTTGGAAGCCTACTTTAAAGTTCGTGTTATTGGAATTGGGATTTAAATTCGGTTTGATGATTGTCGTGCGTGTGAACGGATGGTTTGCCCGTATCCTTGCGCTGACTTAATTTAGGTGCTTAGACGAGTTTAGTTAATATTATCGCGTTGTTTTTAGTGTGGTATTTTTGTTTTTTATTGGAGTTTTTGAAGATTTTTATTTTTTTTCTTAAGAACTTTGTCTACAGTTTATATGTTTTATTTCAAAGTTAGTTTTTTGAATTGTGTTTTCTAAAGAATACTTAACATTCTTTTTTGAAATGATTGTGTTTTGCTTTCTAACGTTACCCTACAACTATTTTTAAGGAATCTTTAAAAGAATCTTCTAAAAGTATTGCACGCGAATATAAATCAGACACTCTATAACATTAATTTTCTATTTAATGAACAATGCTCTAAAATATAGTTTTGGAAATATGAACTGTTT